CCTAAATGGTGCCTGAACCGATACTTATTAAAAAATAAATAAATAAAAATTCCCTAAAAAATGATGGATTGGCCATTAGCACTATAAACACATGATATCTGTTTCATTCATACTGGACGCCAGAAGACGCCCTCGCACAGAAAATCCACATATCCAGTCACAGAAGTAGGGGAACTCATGACCCTCCAGGAAATCCCTTATATGGACAAAGGCATAGCTATTATAGCTGTAACTGAGTAAACAGAACATATAAACGTTTTGAATGATAAAACAAAGACAATAAACACTCGACTGCGAAAATATAGTTTATCTGTGTTATTCAAGCCATCTCTGGTGTTTTCATAAAGATTAAGTATATTTATAATCCATTGCTAATCGATGTATTCTTTTTAAAGTAGCCTATGGAACATATTTTCTGCCTCATTCTGTGACAAGAAGCCACATCAGATCACAAAAGGAAGCATTTGACTGGTGTTGTGGAGTAAAAAGGTTATAATGTTCTCTTTTGTTCTAGCGGGAATTCAGTGGCACAGCTCCTATTTCAGTGCTGTTTATTCTTTAGGTAGGTGCCATTTTATTTTTTTTTGGGGGGGGGGGGGGGATTAATACTTTTATTTAGCAAGTGACATATTGAACTATCAAAAGTTTTTTTTTTTTTACTTGCTCTTCATCACAGAATGCTGAAAAAAATTAAAGAAAAGAAAAAAGCATAGAATGGTTTCTGAAGGATCATGTGACACTGAAGACTGGAATAATAGCTTTTGAAAATTTAGCTTTGTCATCACTTTTTAAATGAGAAAACTTACATTTCACAATAAATTAAAATATAAAATAGTCATTTTAAAATAGTCATTTTTGATCAAATAGATGCAGTCTTAGTGAGCATACTAGCCCCAATCCTTTGAATGGTAGTTCATATACTAATGTACTTTTTGTTTTGATCAATCATTTCCTCCAGAATTTTGGCTCTAGCTGTCACTCTACTGCCTCACAAATATTGCAAGATTGCCAGAAATGATTTTGTAACGTGTTGACAGGAAGTGTGGCATTTCACAAAGTGCCACAAAGAAATCTGCTTGTTTTGAAATGATTGGAAATGTAATTTCTTTGACAATCTGTTTTTATTGACTAAGACATTTGAGTGCAGAAAAAGGCTTTAGTTCTTTTTCTTCTTCAGCGATGAAACCATTACTGTCCAAGAGCTTGCTCACTGTCAGTTGATAAATAACATTTTACTTTCTTCTGCCTTTCAGTGGAGCTATTATTACAGGGTGGTTGCTGCATTTGTGATATAACCTTTCTTTCTAGTGTTCAGTGCTAAGCTAGATGAGCTAAACACTCACAACTTATTTGTGCAGCTTGAGCTAAATATGAGTAATGTGAGAGCTGCCTGACTTGATCTTTATTACTGTTTGCACTTTTTATTTTGTTAAAGACTCCTCTCTTCCTGTAACTTTGTCGGTTAGTTCATTCAGTCACTGACATGATCTCTATAAACATTTACACAGCAAGCTGAAAATGCACGATAAATCCCATTTAGATAGGCCCGTATTTAACTGTATGGTGGACTGATGGTGGTTGCTGTATGCATTTACATTGGGCACTTTATCAACATAGATGAGAATCATTTTATGATGCCCTTAGCAGTTGTCATCAACATTGTTTTGAATAGCTCTGATTGAAATGTTTCCCCATCAATTCTCAGGTCGTTTTAAAGTATGTAGTTAAAAATAATGTCTTCTTTTGAAACATTTGGCCCCAAGCCTCCACTTTAGAGTCACATACCTTTTAGAAGGCAGAGAGAAACTTCTTGATTATTTAACGGTTTTCTTACGAGGACCCAAGACCCAACATGCCCCTCAGGAGAGAGAGTATAGTGTGCTTTAACCGCATTAAGTGCTTGGCTTCACTGTGAAGAAGGGATTTTTTTTTTCAGGAAGGAATGGCATTCAGGTAGCTGCACGCATTTTGCAGAATTTGCAGAAAAGGTCATTAGGTCAGATTCTGCATTCATGCGCAGGTCATTGCTTTAGATCTATTTTTTATATTCAGATGTTAACACTTATGCATTGAGATGGTCGGCTTTTTAAACTTATTGTTGGGTTGTTTATGGCAGTAAATAATATTTGGTTACAAGAGCCTAAACTCATTCTATTTCTGTCTTTTGTTAAATCACCATTTTTATGTTTCCCCACCTTTTTTGTACTTTTTATTTTTGTTTATTGCATTAGACAGGAAATGTTTTGGTATATGTGGAGGGAAGACGTGCTAACTGCTGCACCAAACCTCTGAAAACACAAATTTCTTGTTGTTATTTTGTTTTTAAGTCATGGTTAAGGTGTTCCTGTTCCTGTGTTGTTTGTTTGAAAAGAGTACAATACTATATTGAATTTATGAATGGGAATGCAGATCGGTTGTACTTCCTGAACAGTAACAATTTATGCCCAATTTTCTCTTTAACTCTTTAAAATCTTTGGTGTTTTGTTTTGAAACATTCTGAATTGTACCTAGTTGTCAGTTTTATTTGGTGAATCTTGTAGTAGTCTGGCTGTTGCTGTAACATGCAGATTTGGCCTCAGGTATAAGCAGCAACCGTTGACTGGTGTCCTTGGGGCTGAAGGTTCATTCTTTACAGTTATATTCATTTAAACAGTTAAAATCACAGACAAGCAAAAAAATTCACCTACATAAGGCAAGATATTTAATCAGAATATCTACTTGAGGCTAGGGATGTGCGGGACTAGTCGACTAAACGGTACAGCTCCTACTAGTCGACACTGAAAACAATAGTCGATTACACGACAGAAAAAGAAAAAAAAACATAATTATCATTCAAATTACCGTCATTTTATGTTAACATTAAAATACCATTGTTACATTTAAAACATTTTAAATAACAAGTTAAAATAAAACATTTGAAAAATAATACATTATTTTTAAAAGTGTATCTGGGTGTAAACTACATTTTTACCTCAGACCTCGCTTGAGTTTTCTTCGTGTCAGTTGTGGCGAGCTGAAAAACGAGTAAGGTGTGGGATTATTTTGAATTAGAAGGAAACGGAAAAGTTTTGTGTAAACTGTGTAATGTCAAATTGGCTTACATACCGGTAATCATATTCAATACAGGCACATAGGCGTTAGCTTAGAGACTAGCCAAAGCCAGCTAATGTCAATCACGTCATTCACTACAGCCCGCCGCCGCCGCTGCGATCCCGTCTATGCCTCTAACGAAGACCCACTTCGGTGGAGATGCGGGATGTCCAGGCGCTTTCCGAAATTCTGTTGGCTTGCTTTTTGTTATCTCTGCGTGCCTGCGACTTCAGTTCCTGCAGAGCACGTTTTTTCAAGTGCAGGAATTGTTAATCGCCTCAGGTCCTGTCTTTCTTTTTGTTCGTTTTGTTTTTAGATGATATAGCCTACATGATGAAATATGTTTTTAAAAACCGTTTTAATGCTATTCCTTGATAAAATTTCCAATTGTTTTTGACTTGTGTTTTAATATGTTGGCTAACGTTATATGAAGATGAAGAATTCTGTCAGGCTATTGATTGATTTTCCATTGTTCTGCATTTCCCCAGCTGATTTTAATAAGCATTGGCTGACGTTGAGTGTGTGCTCTTCTTTTATTTTTTTTTTATTTTTTTTTAACGACCGACTAAAATTAAATGATGATAATGCGAGGCAAGCGTACGGCATAATTGTGACCTATTTTTAGCGGAAGTCATTGAGGGATTTGACAGTGTGATTCATAGATTAGGTATTTCAAATTTAGGCTATTTATATACACGCACGCACAAAGTTTTTTTTTCTTACCATCTTTTGGGGGTTTCTTGCTTTTAGACTAGTCGACTAGTCGGATACAAAACTTCCGTTTAAAC